CCAGAGCCAACCGTGAGATGACGGCTGGCTCCGCCAAGCTGTCAGTAGCAGGTTGTCAGCCAGCCGTTCCAGCTTCCGCTTTCACCTTCGGCATATGCCTTCGGCTCGACTGAGCCGCTCGGCCAACTTCAGGAGCTGTACGGGCTCAAGTGAATAGCCTACGGTTCTACTGAACTGAAGGGGTCCTGGGGCCGAAGGATCAGCCGAAGCTATGGCTAGATCCTTCGGCAGCTTTGTGAATAACCCTCGTAGTACTATGTGTCCCCAGTTATGAATGAGCAGGCTGTGATTTATATCACAGCCTGTTCATTCATGAATTTCTGAATGGAGAGTAGCACTCACTATGGAGGCTTCTCCCCATTCATAAACTGTTTGATCGTAAATATTTTACTATCAGCAGTTTCTGAATGGGAAGGAGCCTCTGTACCGAGTGCTTCCCATTCATTGAGTGCTGAGGCTGCAGAAAAAGGGAAATGTCAGGGGTCTGTTTAGACCCCAGAGATTTCACCGTAGCCGCCCCAACAGTAAAAAAAAAATAAATACAAAATTAAATTTTAAAAAAGTAACAAAATAAAGAAAAAAGCACAACCCCTCCCTCCCCCCACATAACATACACATATTGTGGATGCACTGCAGTGCGTTGTTAGAACGGATCGCATGATTTTTGTTATTTTGTTTTCTTTAAAAAAACATTAAATTAATTGTGGCAGCGCACGGCAAAGCTTTGTGACACATTGCCATGTGTTGTGATACCTTGTGTTGCAATTAAATATACACCTTTATCATTTTATCACAACAATTTTTTTACACAAGTCGATTTACAGTTTTGCATACCTTAATTTTTTTACCTTTTTCCCAAAAAAACCGCAATTACAAATTTGCTAACATTTGTTATTTGCGCAATTATCGCAGGGCCTACAAATTTAGTATCACCATCTTTTTATTCTACCGGGCCTGCGCTTTCAGAAACTATATGGTTTGGAGGGTCTTTTACAAACGCTAGCAACCCAGCATTTGAAAATCAAATCAATAGGAAAAAAAATAAATAGCAAAAATGGCGTGGCCAGCTGATTTGAAAAATGTTCCGGAGGGCTTGGCAGCGAAAGGGTTAATGGGTGTGTGTTGAGTTATTTTGAGGGGAAAGCAAATGTACACTGATATACAAGCTGTACACTCACTACTTTACATTGTAGCAAAGTGTCATTTCTTCTGTGTCGTCACAGGAAATTAGATCATAAAATATTTACAAAAATGTGAGGGGTGCACTCAGTTCTGTGAGATAGTGTACATATACATACAGCTTAAAAAATTTGCTCCTCGTCCTTGCAATTTTGTTGCACGCATGCGCAATTTTAAGGCTTGACATGTTTGGTGTGTATTTACCCAACATGACCCCGTCTCTTATATTTTACCAAAAATATGGACACACACACACACACACCTTTGCCCAATCATGGCACACCTGTTGCTAGCTGTCACTGCTAGCTCCGCCCAAATGTTAAACATTTGTCAAAATGCTATTCTGTGACCAGCGTTCCTCACGAGTGAACAGGACAGCTGTCGTCAGTTGTTTTATTTATTTTTTTGAGTTGACATGATTGACCCTGGATTACATCGATAGATCAATTTTTTTATTTTTATTAACAATAAAAGGACTTGTCAAAATCCTTTGTTATGGTTTTTTTTTCTTTCAATGAAATGATTTTTTCCAAAAGTTTAACCCTTTATTTTCACAAGGGGGGGCATTAAATTTAATACATTTTGTTAATAAAATTGATTAAAATGGTACCCTGTGAATAAGCACCCCCACAACCAACGCCCCAGGGCTTGTGGGGAAGAGGACTTGTCCCCATCAGCACAGGGACAGGGTGCTTTTCCAGGGGTGACCCTGGAAAAGCACCCTCCCAGTGCAGACTGCATGTGGCCTGGTATGGGGGGGGGATGAGGGCGCTCACTCATCCGCCCCCCCCTTCCAGCCCTGCCTATACTCGGATCAAGAGTATGGTATGTAATTTTAGGGGGGTCCCCACGTTCCCCCCCTCTTTTTGGGGGTGGGGTTCCTCAAAATTCCTACTGGACCTTAAGGCGTCCCTCCCAACATTCCTACCAGAACTAAACGGTCTGGTATTGTTTGGGAGGAAAAACTGCACGCTTTGATAATTCTCTCCCCCGCCCCCCCCCCTCCCTTAGAAGTGTCAGTTTTGCTGCAGCAGATTCTATACATTGTACAGATTTTCCACTTTACAGGCAAGTTAAGGGGACCCCCCCAGGCACGATCTTTACTTTGTTTAATTGATACATGTCCCCCAATATGGCCAATAACTTGCATATAAGCCCTCTTAACTGCCTCCGGGCCGGCCGTAGTAAAAAAACGGCCGGCCAGGAGCTCTCTAGATCTGAGCAGGCGTCTTTAGACGTCCGCTCAGACACGCCCCCTTGCGCGCGCCGGCTGTAAAATGGAAATGGCCGCAATTTAAAAACGGGCAGCGATGCCCAGTAATATACATGCGATCCGCCGGCTGTAAAGCCGGCGGATCGCTTGTATTTAGCTACGATCGGTGCGGCCCCCCCCTCCCTCTGCTGTCCCCGGTGCGAGCCCGGGATCAGCATGTTGCCTGTGACACAGGGGATCAGAGAGAGCTCGGTACACGAGCTCCCTTTGGTCCCCTCTCCTGCGAAAGAATGCGGAAGTGTTGTATAATACATCACTTCCGCATTCTTGTGTGACTCTCCAGCTTCAGAAGCTGTAAAGAAGCTGATGGAGCAGATCTCTGCTTCATCAGCTTCTTTTGGGGGGTCTTAGGTGACATTAGGGGTCTTGGAGACCCCTGATGTCTCCATAAAGAGGACCTGTCACATATTTTGCTATCACAACATTTTTTTTAAAGTCCCCACCCATACATGCGTCGGGGGCGCATACGTGCAAAAAAGAAGATTGCGCCCATTACGCCGCACATGTTACATATCGCAGCGAACGTTGCAGTGAGAGCAATAAGTCTAGGGCCATCAATCACTGATAACACTAAACTGATGAGCGGTAAAAACGTTTAAAGCGTCGCCTATGGCTAATTTTGGTTGCGGTCGTTTTCTGCGATGTCGCGGGTGCACGCAATTTTAAAGCTTGACATGTTTGG